TTATTTACTTTGTATCCTAAAGGAAATAATATATCAGATAATATTCTGTAGTTATGCATATATGGTAGTTTCTTTGATGAAAAGAAATTACCATATATTATAAGTCCCTAGGGTAATTATAATTTATGGAGAAGTTTCTAGGGCTAAAATATTTGCCTAAGAGTCCCTAGCCTACCTATAAATACGCCTGTGACTCCATCATTCTGGCATCCTATGATAGGCACATGCTAGAAGGCTCCCTAGGTTTTCTGTCAAGATTCTTCCAAGGTGACTCTATGATACTTGAACATCTATGACTGAAGGTATATTCCTTGTTTAATTTCCGCTGCAACGACTCTGCGTATGTATTAAATTTTAACATGTGGTATCAGAGCCATCCTTTAGCTGTGTTGTTTAGCGTCTAATTATTTTTACGCTAATTAAAACTTTTGAAATCAATCATAAAATTGTATTCAATTGGAAGTTTTAAGCACTACCAATTATAAGATTAGTGTTTAAATTACCTTACGTATTCCGTGATTTAAGTTCATGTTCTCATCGAATTTGTTAGTCAAGGCATTTTGATTTAATTTATCAACATGTTTATTTACTTGAAGTTTTCACACAAATACATTCGTTGTGGCGTAAAATTCTTGTTAAAGTTTCTGAACCAAGAATTTTGTAGTGTTTGTCTTGAAGACAAGTGGTAACACCGTAGATTGTGTGAAACTTCTAGATCTGCTATGTTTTGATCCATATAAAGTAATTGGATTCATGCCTAGTCTGACAAATGTTGTATTACACTTTTTACAATATAGAGATGCTGCTTTGCTTTGATTTCTTTGTTTATTTTTTGTGTTATCTTGTTCTTTAAAGTCTTGCAGTAATCTTGTAAGCTAGATTGAAATAATTGCTTCAAAGGATAAAAGACAATAGACTGGTTTTAGGTTTCTGTTACCCAAAATATGTCCAGTATATGTATAAGTTTTTGTAACGACCTGATCGGTCGTTTAGAGTATTTGTACTTTGCTCGCCAGTTCTCGGGCATGACTAGTCCCGTATGATGTATTATGACTTATGTAAATTGTCAGTTTTTGTACTTCGGACAAGATCTATGTCCAGGGAAGATCCATCCCTCAATAATATCATCTGCGCTCACTGGGGGTGTGTAGACTCCAAAGGGGCTCCTTTTAGCCCAAGCTCCATAACAAGCCAACGAAGGCAGAATCAATAATTTGCTGCGGCGTGCAGCCCGATCCCATAACTATCACTCATAATCAGGCTCTCGGCCTCACTCAATCATCACTCTCCAGTCTCATACACACAGGCTCACAATTTGCCATAATACCAGCCTGAAACAATGATATGATGTGCCAAATGATAACAACCAAGGCTGAGACATGATATGATATGCATGAACATGATTGAGTACAGAATATCAATGAAACTAATGAGATGATAGCAAGAAATGACCACTTGGGTCTCAACAGTATTGACATGAAGCCCTAACATGATAATTAGCATGATTTACAGTTCTTTTACTTAATCACATAAGCATAACACATATATCAGCAAGAAAGAATCACTAAGCGGTGCCATGGAATGAACAAGGCCACAATTCTTACGGTGCATGCCCATTCGCCCGTCACTTGGCATTTGCGTCAGCTCGATACAAATCATATAGCACAACGTTCGGGGTTTCAAACCCTCAGAACCAAGTTTGAAAATGTTCCTTACCTCAAACCAAGTCAAAACTCTAACCCACGATTCCCTTGCCTCTTGATTCGGCCTCCAAATGCTCCGAATCTAACCAAAATAAGTATATTATCATCAATATATGCTAAAGGAATAAAACCCATACGAAAATTATCAAATTAAATAAAAAATCCCGAATTTTCTCAAACCCCCCCCCCCC